AAGCATTTCTCTTAATAGTTGTGTAAGAATGTCTCCTCTCCTCTCCATTATCAAATTCTACTTCCACTCTCAGTGTGAAGCCAAAGAAATTTCCTTGACTTCTGTGGAATAATGTTTGGTTGGGTTTTTTTCAATCTGAAAGTAAAATTTGTCTCACTGTCTTTTTCAATTTTGGGTAATTTTCCAACCTTTTTTTTTGAAGTACAGAACCGTCCTACATTTCATGGCCTCAAAACTCTTTACCATAGGACACTCTTTTACAACCATAGTGCTATTGGGTCCTTTCTGTATCATCCTTAATGTTTTGTTGGTTTTCTCTTTCACACCATTTCCTGAATTCTTTTGTTTTGGACCCATTCCAGAACTGTTATTTGTTGCTTCCTTTCTATTCACAGGGTAAGATAAAGCCATTAGCTGTGTTCCTGCTCTGCTTCTCCATTGCTGGCAATGAAGCACAACTGCTCTGCTCACTCTTGAGCCAGCTGTATATTTTTATTTCTAAAAAAGTAGAATCTGCACTACTACAGATCTGAGTGTAACCATACTGCAAAATGTCAGGATGACCTACAGAGTTACAATTACACAGGTGTAGTTAAATCTCACTAACTAAATCTGATTTCCAGATACGTGGATCACAGGCTTGAAATCCGGGCTCTGAGGAAGTTGGTGGAAGTTTTGGCAGTGACTTCGGTGGGGTTGGGACTTTGTCTGAAATACTAGCTTGCAGTCAGCCTTTATGGCCCTCTCTAGTTAGCTGTGCTTTTGCTTCCACGTGGTCTGTGGGATATATGACAGGGAGGATGCCACAGTGGCTAAAAAAGCTAAACATTGTCGAAGTAAATCAGCTTCAGGTAATGTACTTGAAAGTCCTTTTACACTGATTCCTTTCATACTGACTCCCGACTTGAATGATTTCGAAGGTATTAACATTATTGTTTTTCTTTAACATGTGCAGAAAAAACACATTCTGATGAAACTCTGCTAACTATGAGCCATTTATATAATGATCACACAAGCAATAGGAATAATTTAAAAAGTCAGAAAGAGTGCATTTTAGCTGTTAAAAAAAGTCATTTTAGAATTTGGGCAGACTTAATTGTGATATTAAGGCAGCAAAATTTTTACTGAATTATGGCTTTTATGAAGAAATAAACATTTGTTTTTCAATACCTTGGCCTATTTGGTTCTCAGTGGGTACTATGGCTAATATTCTTACTTGAATGGTAAATGTTATGTTCTTTTCCATTTAAAAGTTTTAAACTCTGTTTCATCTCGGAAATCTCCATCTGACTCATAGCTTATATATGTTTCCCTACACATACACTCATTAAGTTCAGCAGCAGTTGCTCACAAATTGTATCAAATTGTAAGCAGATATTCTAAAGAAAGATTTCTCAGGGATGACCTGAGAAGTAGCTTTAGTTTTTCTGACAGTATTCAAACTGGTATACATATTATAAATACATGGATGTTTTTTCTCTAGATCTACATACACATATGCACAGTCTGTGTATGCACACACACAAAGACCACACACACAATTATGATATATCACCTTGTATGTCCACTGTGTCCTCCATTTTATGGCAATTTGAAAAAAACTTTTTGTCCTGCCTTTCATCTCTTCTTGAAGTTTGGCTTTTGGCCATCACTTTTTAGCAGTTGTGTAAAATTATTTTCTGTGAAAGAATGACATCATACACCCCACAGGCATTTATTGCTGAGTTATAATCCCGCTTATAACTTTTTTACCTCTCACTCTTCCTCTACACAGAGAGGCAGCTATGTAACACCTGTAACAATTTTTTTTTAGCAATGCATGAATATGTATGTGCTGAAAATACAGTAATGTGAAAAATAGTACCTTTTTGGTTTGCAAAAAGTTATATGAGCAGTAGGATTGCCACTCATCCGGATTTTTACTAAATAACTAAAAGTTAGAAGAAGAAATTTCTGTAATAAAAAGCAGAATCGGATCTCTCTGACTTTCAGTCATGTAGAATGAAGTGAAGCAACTATGAAAAGTTTGCCTTTCAACCAGGTTTAAATTTCAAATCAGCCATGAACAAACAACTTTAGCCCTAAAATACAGAGGATTTATGTTCAATTAACAAGGGCTTTACCACCTCAATGCATGTGTGGGTGGACTGTGTTGTGATCTTATTTGTTTTATCACATAGGTTAAAGTTTTTGTTATGAATATTTTACTGATATTTCTATATAGCCATGCTATATCACATACTTTTCCAGTAAGTCTACATTGTGTCAATTTATTTATTAACATGATCTTTTCATTACCACTTTTTAAAACATAATGAGTTTTTTCTTCTTCCTTTTCCTTCTTTGTCCCTCTCAAAGCAGAATATTGAGTACTGGTGATAGTAGGGTTAAATTCATTGCATGTCCTTGAACTCTCATATGGACGATTTTGTGAAAGGTTAAATATTTTCAATGACTTAACTTTTTTGAAAAAGAAGAAAAAAAAAAAAAAGGACAGACATAAATATTTCAGGTTATTTGTCGATCTTTCATGAGTGTTTCATTAAAATGGCAAAGTGATGCAGAATGAGACCAACCATGGTATATGGGATGCTTGAAAGAAAGGCCTCTGAAGATGTCCTACATTCCAAGAATTGTTTGAGCATGAAACTTCAAATTTTATATTTTAATAAAACCTTTCTTGAAAAAGAAAATGAAGAGGAATATTCTTTTGTAATTCAGGTGTCATTAGTATTACACATAAACCTGGATTCATCTCATCTCACTTTACATGGCTGAGAAATCTAAGTTATGAGTCGTATTCATCTTTCTTTAATCAATGAAGGGAGGCAAGGTTTTGCTTCATTTTTTCCCAAGGAAATCTGGGCAATTAGGATACTAATTTAGGCACTTTAAGTCACTAAAATGTCAAAGGCTGGATCTGAATTGCCTTGCTTATATCACAGATCTTTGCCCTAAAGCCAGCTCACAGCTCTAGAGATGCTCCTCATTACTAAGGCTTTTTGTAGTTTTGATCAGAAAAATTTACTGTTCAATCTGTGAACCTGAGTTAGGTGAACCTTGCCTATTGCTTGTCACTACTGTTACTTCAGCATTGCTCTTTATTTCTTTTTCTTAAGGATCAATCAAATTACATTCGATCCAAAGCCATAATAACTTGAAAAGCAAGTCCTTTACCGTCACCAGGCTGCAAGCAGCCAGGCTGCTGAGAGGCATTCCTTTTCATCCTGGATTTCTAAAGTCAAATTTTCTCTCTTTTTCAGGCAGAGATAGAGGTCCTTATTTCCACTTTCATTATGCAGTGGATGCATGATGTTCTGTGTTTTAAGGCTAGATAGAAAAGCTGGCTAGGTCTACCTGGCAGACCTTCATTCTTTTTCCCTTGAAATCAGCTCTTCACAAACTCACTGCTGATTACTAAATGTTATGAAGTTCTAAGTGAGCCAACCAGTATGGTTTTGGAAAATCAAGACCACAATAGCACATTACCTCATAGTGTACTTTTTTCATAAAATCTAAGAAAAAAGCAGTTGGTATATTAAAAATATTTTACCTTAGAATTACATGGCAGTAGAAGGTCTTAAAAAAATCTCCTCTAGCTAATGACTGGTGAAGAGAAAGAATGTTCTCTTTTTGAATGGTAGAGTGTAAACTGTCCAGTTATGCACACTTTAAGTTGTTTGGATTTCAGTGGTTTTAATTAAGAAGATAAACTGTTTTCAGGTTTAGGAGGTTATAACAATGTAATATGTTCTTTGTGAGTCTAAAATCAGACAGAGAAGGAGTTCTTTGCTGGGCTAAATCTAGATTTTATAAACATGAAGAAAAAGTTAGAGCTGTTATTTCAGATTAGAATTGTCTATTCTGAATTTCAAAAGAGGTTCTCTAGCCCAGATGTACTGAATGCTTGATTGAAGAAAGTGTAAACTTAATACTACAGTTGGAAGTACTTATATAGGCTTGAATTCACCTATACTCCCTGACTCTATTGATTTTGAAAGACTTAACAAAACTGTATTAAGGAGCCTATTTTTTGACAGTCACACCAATTTACATTAAATCAGTACTTTAAAAAACCCTCAACTGCTATGTATGGCTGAAAAAAAAAACTTGAGAAGCACATTCCTAGCAACCTAAAAAATACTGGAGGAAATAACCACAAGTAACTTCGGAATAGGAGCATTTTCAGAAAGTGAATATGCAAGCATTCCCTTCATAACACTGCCTGAAAATCATTCACAAAATATAGAATAGAATACACAAAAATATGTTGCCTTTAACTTGGGCAGGAGAATTCAGTGAAGTTTCCTGATTTTTTTTTTTTGGTGTTAACAGGTTTCCTCTTTTCTCTTGTTATAAGCACTCTCAAACCATTTACAAATTCTGGTGTTTTCAGATGTGTAGAATTAGCTACTGAGTTCCCTTTGATAACACAGATCACAAGGGGCTGCTTCAGTGGGGGAAGCTGGGAGCCAGGTAAACTTCTGAGCTGCAGCCTTGGCTGCCATATTTATTCCCATTGTTTCTGATAACTTTTCTATTACCTGAAGATAGGAAGAGGTACTACTCGAGGTTCACTCTCTAATTCAAAGCTATATAAGAGTTTGAAAATATCCTTTTGCAACAATTCTCATCCTTTATGAAGAGAATGTAGAAGGAAGTTAATGGGGAATTCATCATAGAGTTTTACTCCCTTAGAGCTTCTTGCTCTGTACAATGTGTAAAATACATGATCTGAAACAGGATTTTTACACCATCGACTTTGAAGATTCATTTAATTTTGTAGCAGGTGGTTTATAGAACTAAAGTATTTCAAAAATCCCTTTAAAAGTAAATGAGTAAATGGTGTTGGTAGGACTTCCAAGCTGTATGATGACGAAAATTCTTGACATGACCACAAATGCGTGGATTGTTGCACTGAGAAGAGCAAAGTTTTTCTTCTGGATGCTTGATGACTTATGGTGACTTTCATTTTTTTGTTGTTTGATTTTTTTTTTCAGCTTTCATTTGCAGCAACAACCCCGGAGTTGGCTGATAAGAAAAAATATCCATATTTCTTCCGGACAGTGCCATCTGATAATGCAGTGAATCCAGCAATTTTGAAGTTACTCAAATATTATCAGTGGAAGAGAGTTGGAACTTTAACCCAGGATGTACAAAGGTTCTCTGAGGTAAGATTTGCATAATTTCCAGTACATGAGGAGAGTTACTAATATCAGACTTATAAGGAGCTACTTCCTCCATTAATAGCAATTAAGTAAAAAGAAACAGACCCACTGTTTCATCCTGTTTGGCTTTGTCTTACTAGGTTACATTTGCTGTACTGAATAAACTTTATTCCCTTCTGGGGTTTATTTGACTGTCTATAGTAAAAACTACCTATGCTTTCCCTTGACTGTTTTTTACACCAAGATCATTGCACCCAAATGCAAAAAAAACACGTTTGGTTTTTTTTTTTTTACTTGTCTAAGCGTATGATCTTGAAACAGGCTTGTATCCTGACATTGGTTCACTTAAAAGAGAGAATAAATCTAATTTCACTATGTTCCTTTTGTGCTCTGATTTACTATAAGCATCAGTCTGAACACTGAAGGACAAGATCTGGTAAGTCTAGACTGAAAATACTGGAGGAGCTTACTGAGACAGAAATGACTGAAGCCTCCAGAACTGATAAGATCGCATGCTATGCACCCTCCAAATCTTCTGAGTTTCACCCTGAGCAACATTTTGGTCATAGAAATTGCAATAAAGTACGGGGCAAGTGCCTTAAGCATGGTGTTAACAATAGTTAAAAGAAAACATCCTATAATTAATTAATCAGAGTACAACAAGGGA